ATTACCAAAGACAAGCTTGATAAGGCTGTTGAGGAGTCATGGGCTAAGCTTGCCACAAGTGATGAGTTAACCCCCGCCCTCAAAGGAGTTTACCTGTTGGAAGCAGGGAAGGCGGGAAAACCCCGTGTAGATGGAAACCCTGACGTACGTAGAACATCAACCACCGTCTACCTACAGCCGAAATGAATTTGGTCAACACTACCAAGTCTTTGGAGCCCAAGCTCTCCTTTCGAAACCTCTTCATGCAGCAGTGCGTCATAAAGTGGAGACAGACTACTTGCAGAAAGTAGTAGGCGAGGAAACGCCAAAGGAGAGAGCGTTGATCCGCTTGGAGGAAGCGAAAGGCAAGGGAGTTTTGTCGTGGTTGACAACGCAAGGGTTGTCAGCAGATGAAAGAATGCTGCCTGATCTATATCGAGAGTCAATCGGTCGTGTACTGGGGAGTCACGATCGAGCAGACTGCAACACAGGCAAACTTTGTGGTGCAGGTGCATTGTTACCATGCAAGGACCGCTTGAGCAGAGCCCACTCCCTCGTCTGCACCAAGACCGGCGCCGCAACCTTCCTCCATAACAGGATGGTTCGAGTAGTCCTCAAGACACTGCGCGAGTGCCATATGCCCATCATCGCCGTTGAGGATTCTTCCCCTTTTACAACAGACAGGCACTACTGGTAGGGGAAAGGGGCGATACAAGATGGATTTTGGTAATCCCCCCAGGATTACACGCAGGAGAGATGGAAGAGGAACTCTGCACCAAGTCCATTCTCATAGACGTAACAATCGTCAACCCATCCGCAGGTCGAAGCATCGACAAGTCGATCCTCAAGCCAGGATCCGCCCTCGAAGATCGAGCTGCAAGTAAGGTAAATCACTATGCGGGAACTTTCAACCCGTCTAGATCTTGTTGATAAAGCGGTAGCTTCTGGGGAAAAGTAGTTGATTTAAAGAGACCCTTGTCAGGAGAGACTGGTCAGAAAGTGGAGTGAGCACGGTGTGCAAGCCGTGTCCTCGATACCCTGCGAACTCCTGGAATCCAACGAACCAACGGACACGTTCCGGCACTGCAGTTGTGCCGAATCGACGTCCGTGAGGCCTTTCGGCAGGTATTGGTTGACCCGTCGCGCGCGGCGGTGTTTGGATATACTATGGGGGACCTTGTCGTCGTGGACCTGAGATGCCAGTTTGGATGGCGGTCTAGCCCCGGTTTCTGGTCGCTGTTTTCGTCTGCTCTCGAGCACTCACACACTCATACCACCTTCCAAACAGCTTCGGTGTCGCCTGTTGGCGGGGAGGCGGTCAATCACGTTAAAATCCGCCCGCCTCAAAGCCCCGCTGTTCCTGTACCGCGTGATTGCGCTACGATTGTTTTGGACGGTGGTTTCGCTGGGTCCCCCTTCTTCATCAGATATTACGTTGACGATGGAGTGTTGGTGGAAGCGAAGTTTTTCGAAGATGGTCGCCGTTGTATACGTGCTGTGCAATCGATCGCGTCCGACCATTTCCGATTGCTGGGGTCTCGGGGGCCAAATGATCCCCCGCTGCTAAAACGAGAGACAATCACCGATTTTTCGACGCGCTTGGAAGTGTTGGGATGGATTCTTGATACACAACAGCTTTCCGTCACCATGCCTCCACACAAACAGCAGAAGTTAGAGCGGGTGTTGGGCGAATGGCCCTCCACGCGACTGTGTGCAACAACTCGCCAGGTGTCGGAGTTGACCGG